ACCATTCCTGGAGAAGCCAGGGACTGAACCTGGGACCTTCTGATTGAGAAGCAGATGCTCCACTCCTGAACTCTAGTCCTCCCCTCTGTTAGAAAGCCTCTCCTCCTCCCAGAGGGGAGGTGTTGTGGGCGGGACGCGATTTCTGCGTCACATAGGGGGGCGTTATGCCCCCTGCCCCACTCAGCTGGCTGGTGCACCACGCTCACAGGTAAGCGCCCAACCGGGTGGCTTTTAGGGGGCGTGGTTTGTGGTTTAAGGTACAGCAGTGCCAGCCATTCCGCCTCACTTTTCACCTTCTAGTCGCGAGTCACCCACCCACCACTCCCTTAGGGCTTAGGGCTTAGCTTTTTGCTTGACCTTGCTATGGACCTTTGGTTGGTCTCCCAGGTTGCCCAGAGGGCCTGGTAGGAATTTTTCCAATCGGCATTAGGCCTTTTGGTTTTTTCGCCTACCTCGTAGCAATTGTCACAACTTTCTTGGTATTTGACGGTTAGGCATTGGAATGTGTTGTTGGTGTGTGGAAGGGTAGGTGTGGCCATCGCCTACCCCTTCAAATTTGGGTATTCCGTTAAAGGAATCTAGCGGTCGTGGATCCTGCCTGATGCCTGTGTGGCGGGGGGCCATGGCACGACCCTCGGTGACATCAGGGGAGAGCTTTCAGTTGTATTAGCATCAACAGGCTCCACCTACTGGTGAATAAACCCCCCTTTAGGCTCACCCCTCTCTGAGTGGGTGGAGTCAATCTGTCGTGGTCCAATGCCTAAGCCAATACCTTCTCACTTGCTGTAATCAATAAAGTTGTGGCCTTTTCTTGCCCATTAACCGTATACACTGTGTCCGTGTGTCTTCATTTCACAAAGCGGGGATCGGGTCCTCAAATCACAAACAGCCACAGCACTACCAGGATTTGAATCTTATGGTGATGCAATTAAGGGAAGACCCTTTTCTTCAGAGAGAGCACACAGTAATAGTTCAAATAAATGCCTGCAACAGTCCAGAGAAACAAACACTTTCGGGATCCATCTAAGGGTGATTCAACTACATTTATGTCTTCTAATCCAGAGACACGGCCTAAATAACCTTCCCTGCTCCCCATTTCTAAATTAGCGTTGTCAAACAAAGGGAAACCACATAGTTGGCATTCAAATTGAAATGAGGTCACTACACCGAAGTGACTGGCTAATACCTGTTTTAGGCATTCTATTGATTTTCCCGATAAAGACAGGCTTGGGGAGATGCAATGAGTAAATTCTGTAGACAGGTCGCGTGCACAACCTGGGCTTGGATAAGATGTTATCTGCAGGATTCAATTAATAAAAAAGGTGATTTGCAAGCATAGACATACAAGGGTATAAGGTTACAGTTGAAACTCTTTAACACATATAGGGGAAGCCAAGCCATGAGAATCAATTTGAATTATTTCCTTTTTCAAGTGGAGTGGGGAGGACAGGGGGCTCAATTTTTTTTCCTAAGTCTGGAATGAATATGAATAAGGGCTCAAGAGCAAGCTTACATTTGCACCTACTGTTTTCAACTTTTGAGATAGATATTTGTAACAAGGCATTGATATTTAGGTGCAAAGTGGAAGAGATGAGGCCAGGACCTTCGGCAGCTATACTTGAATCCCGGCAGGATTTTCCAGGCCTAGCTAAGGTTGCATATTGCCTTCCAACCACATTTGCCACATTCCATAAATCTACAGCCCCTCAGCAAAAAAAAAAATTGGGATGGGTATATTCTTCAATATCATCATCATCATCATCATCATCATCTTTAGCTACACTTGTCAGTTGGTTTATGCCAGTGATGGCCAAACTTGGCCCTCCAGCTGTTTTGGGACTACAGTTCCCATCATCGCTGACCACTGGCCTGTTAGCTAGGGATGATGGGAGTTGTAGTCCCAAAACAGCTGGAGGGCCAAATTTGGCCACCACTGCTTTATGCAGATGAAGAAGTCCCTTCACCAGAGTTTAGCTTTCCTTTGTACGTGTGTTTAATATGGACATTTCTCGATTAAGCAGATTGGACGGATTCACTTCCTTACACAGAAAAATCCCATTAAAAGCCAGTACTTTTTTTTCTTAAAAAAATGTATAGGGGTACTCTCATTTTGACTGAAGAAAAGCACAATTTTATAGTTCAAATAGGGAAAATAAATACACTAAATGGACAAATGGACAAAGAACATGCACAACACCGTTGTCCCATCTTTTGTTTTTACAGAGTCATCCTTAACTTTACACCTCTTTGCTGGCTATGATGATGAAAAATAGTTTGTCATTTTCCTACTCATATTGAAATACTGCCCCTCAATGAGGCCAAACTTTCATCAGTAAAACACCACACATCCACATTCCACACTGCTTCACACATTAAACACTCACTTCCCTCTGGGACTCAGGAAACACCGGGAAAGGAAAGGAAGCCGCCATCAGGGGTGGTAACAACAAAACTGACCAATCACCGTGCTAGATTCCAACTCCTGCTTCACACATTAAATGCTAACTTCTGTCTGAGACTCAGGAAACACCATGACAGGAAATGAGGCTGCCATCGGGGGTTGCAATGGAACTGACGATTCACCGTGCTAGAGAAGAAACTAAAAAAAAATTAAAAAAATAGTTTCTTCTCCCGTTAGAGTCACAAAATGTTTAGGGGTACACATACCCCTGTATACCCCCCAGAAAAAAGCACTGTTATAATAATAATAATAAAATTTTATTTATATTCTACCCTCCCCAGCCGAAGCTAGGCTCAGAGCAGCTAACAACAGTAAAATGATACAACATTCTAAAATCATTTCTTTATAAAATCAGTTCAAATCAGATTAATGGCAACCATTGGGCTAGAGTTCTGTGAGGATTGCCAAAGGAGGGGGTCAGTCTGTGCCCTGGCCAAAGGCCTGGTGGAACAGCTCTGTCTCGCAGGCCCTGCGGAAAGATGTCAAGTCCCGCAGGGCCCTAGTCTCTTGTGACAGAGCGTTCCACCAGATCGGAGCTACAGCCAAAAAAGCCCTGGCTCTGGTTGAGGCCAGCCTAACCTCTCTGTGGCCCGGGACCTCCAAGATGTTTTTGTTTGAAGACCGTAAGGTCCTCTGTGGGACATACCAGGAGAGGCGGTCCCGTAGGGTGTTAAAAGCCATTCAAGTGGCCACAATACATTTTATTTGGGCATTTCAGTCATTATGGAAAAATACAGGAAACAGAATCATGGTCACTTCAGCTGCTAACAGTACCCACGTTGAACACAATGAGACATTCCTGCACAGGCTTGCACACCATGGCTTCAATCCTACAGTATGTGTTCCCTTACTAAGTAGTATGTCAGTGCCCTCTTAGCAATTGACCATCAGAACCCATTTAAATGCGCTCATGAAGAATCTGTATTTAAAAGAGGGGGAAACAGGAGGAGGCAAAAATCGCACTGCGCTGACATTTTTCTTATTCATAACATGTAAATTAAGAGCCTAGAGAAACCACAGCAGGTGTCAAAAGTTTTTGAACATCTCCTCAGTCCTGAGCATGCTCGGAATATTGTGAAGTAGGACCCCAGCTAATAAATTAAACACAGTATGTGGCATCCTGCCACTTAAGGTTTCTTTTCAAAAAGGATACTGCTTTTCTATGCATATGCCTGCAAGTTGCTAAACCTAGTCTTGAGAAGCAAACAATGGGATGGGACGTTAGCATTTCTTAAATTCTCCCCAACCCACTTAGGGCCCGGAGATTCTCAGAACAATACTTTACTAATGCACTGGTTGCTCGTGGTTTTTTTGAATATTCATTAGACCTCTCTGAATAATTCATGGGAACCTGCAATTAGCATCAGTTTCCTTACTTGTTCTGAAAGATTTGGCTGTAAATTAGGCCTCGTGGAGTTATTTGCCTTTGAATCTGTTATTAGGTTTTAGAACCTTCCTGCTCTGAGATGCCGATGAAAGGGATCTTCTGGAGCAGAACAGCTATTCTTTCCAGGCTGGGATTTGGGTAGCGCGCTGAACTATTCCATCTTGCTGATGATTTTGGCATCCCTAAGTAGTTACATAAAAGAAAGATTCTCTCTCTCTCTCTCTCTCTCTCTCTCTCTCTCTATATCCAGATAATCAGAATCAGGACTCAGAGAAAGGGAGGAATGGAAGGAAAGACAGACAAAGAGAAAGACAATTGATCATGTTCAAATTATTCAAGATACGGCATAAGGCTAAAAGGGGAAGAGCCCATCGCAAGTGATCTGAATCTTCATATCCCAGGCACAGTGGCATGTCCTTGTACCTGGTTTGTTTGAATTATGGAGCACTGAAAGCTTGTTTACTTTCCAGGGTGGAATCACAGAGCACACCAATGGAGATAAACATGAGTCGTGCATGGCGCTCGCACCCATGGAGAATGCAAAGAAGCAAAAGCAGCAGAGAATTGTTACGAGTGGCTTTTATGTTACAGTGTTGGGCAGATGGGCACATCAGGATTTATTTGTAGATCTCTGGGTGATTTGCAGTAGATTGGCAAGGATTTCGGACTCCCAGTTGTTTTAACAATAGCAATAACAGAATGATTCCAACCAGGCACCTAAATTAGACTTCTGAAATGACCGAAGCTATCCAGTTTTCAGTAAACATACTGTAGGCTCAGTTTAGCTCTGAATGGAAAACAAATTTCTAGGGTCAAAATATGCTCCGATTCACTCTATGCATCAATTCTCACTGTAAGGTTTTTTGAACCTTCCTCTAACTTGGTAGTAGATTTTGGGGTTCTACTAAACAAACAAAGTAGATCCAAGATGCCATAAACCTTCCCACCCATGACTAATACCCTTGCAACTCAGCAGTCAGACTGAAAAAGTATGCAATATGGATCCCACTGATGCAAGTGTGAGCTTAAATGTGGAGTCCAAATTATGTTTACCCATAAAACTATTTTTTTGGGGGGGGATCACAAATACTCAAAATTCACAGAATTTTCAATTTCCATCATGCTTTTTGAATATGAAATCTCACCTTCAAAATGCAACATCACATTTTGAAGGATAAATATTACAACAGCATCTAAAAATGGAGGATTTTCATAAAAGCCTATTGGCATCATTTTATTGGCAAGCACCAATTACCAAATCTCAGAAGATGGCACCTGTAATATTAAATACCATTTCATGTTAATATTTACTAAATACTGTCAAATATTAGTACTGTTATCTGAAGTCTATCAAATGCTGTCAGATTCTACATTCCATTACACATTAAATTAAATGGCAAATGATACAAAATAAACAACATTTCTGTGTCTATCAAATACGGTGGTATCAAATTTCAGATACTGAAATTGAAGGAGGAATGTTGAATGCAGATATGAAACATTTCACATTTCAGTATTCAAGAGCTATTCAAAAAGCCTGAGAATATCTAGAAAATATTCAGCATCAAAATTCATAGAGAATTTTGGAGAAAATTCATCTGAGCACTACTCACAAGTTAGTCCCATGGATTGTAATGGGACACTTCCCCCAACAGCGCACTCTGAGGAAGCTCTACAAAGACTCATCAACTGTTTTGCCCAAACCTGCATGGAATTTGGCCTCACCATCAGTCTGACAAAGACCAGCATCCTGGCTCAGGACATCACCAGCACTCCATGCATCAACATTGAGGTAGGCAACAGTTAACCGGCAACCTTTCCATTGGTTCTGAGCTGGACAAGTGTATTGGTACGGCAGCTACAACATTGGCTTGCCTCTCCAAAAGGGCATGGGAGAATGGGATGCTAATGACCAATACCAAGATGAAGGTCTACCAGGTGTGCATGTTGAGAACGCTGCTTTATGGAAGTGAGTCGTGGGAAACTTACATCCACCAGGTGCAAGGCCTCAGTGCCTTCCATATGTACTGTGTAAGGAAGATCTTGAAGGGACGCGGGTGGTGCTGTGGGTTAAACCACAGAGCCTAGGACTTGCTGATCAGAAGGTCGGTGGTTCAAATTCCTATGATGGGGTGAGCTCCCATTGTTCGGTCCCTGCTCCTGCCAACCTAGCAGTTCGAAAGCACGTCAAAGTGCAAGTAGATCAACAGGTACCGCTCCGGCGGGAAGGTAAACGGCGTTTCCGTGTGCTGCTCTGGTTCGCCAGAAGCAGCTTAGTCATGCTGGCCACATGACCCAGAAGCTGTACACCGGCTCCCTTGACCAATAAAGCGAGATGAGCGCCGCAACCCCAGAGTCGGCCACGACTGGACCTAATGGTCAGGGGTCCCTTTACCTTTACCTTTAAGGAAGATTTGGGGCATCACATAGCAGGACAGAGTCTCAAACAAAGATGTGCTCTTCCAAACCCATGTTCACACTTCTGTCTTAGCGATGTCTATGCTGTCTTGGTAATGTACACAAAAATGAAGATGGCAGGATCCCCAAGGATGTGCTTGGCAGACCAACTTTGTGTTATAAAGATGTCTGCAAACATGACATGAAGGCTGGCAACACTAACCCCACCATGTGGGAATCCCTTGCAGACAACCACAGTGCCTAGAGACAGTCAGGTTGTGTATCCACAGAAGTGACCAGTGAAGAAATGACCACAGGGAGGACAGCAGAGAGAAGAAATGCCATGGCAAATCTTCATCTGCCTTCATCTGCCCCAGATGCAACAAAACATGTCTCTCTCACATTGGTCTCTACAGCTACAGCAGGCACTGTAACTCTCCAGTGGTTTGACTTTACCCTGATGAGACACTCTTCCATTATATTTCAAGACAGCTGGATGCCAACAACAGGTGTTGTTTTTTTACAAAATTTCAAGTTCCCATTTCACTTTAGCTATAGGTCACACAGAAATCTCAGGCTACTGTTCACAGTTTGAGTATAACCTCGGATTTAGAACAGAGGAACTGAAACAATTCTGACAATTTTGCACAAATGTAGGCCAAGTAGCCAAAAAGCTATGTGTATGTCTCAAACCTGTTTGTGTATGCAGTAGTTCAACCCACCTAACTATGCATTGGATGCCTCCTCTGGAATATTCCCTGAACTTCAGATATGACAGGGCAGGGCCTGGGGTATGCTGGGACAGACTGAAATGATTTAGCATATGGGTGAGTGGTGGGGGGGTGTAAGTGTTGCAGGGCCAATAAACCTTTCAGTTTTCTGGTTTTGTGAATTGTTGTTTCTCTTGTCATCACTACTAGCCATCAATAGTGTTGAAAATGCCTATCAGAACATTGCCTCAGCCATATTATTGAAAATAATATCCACCAGAAATATGGTGCATGGATATGGGGGAAGGCTTGATGAGAGCATATAACAAAATAGTAGGACACGGTCAAATTATTAATGAAAGCAGAAACAGTTGCTTTGACCATGAAAAATATTTTCTGGCAGGGTGGGGGGGGGAGGAGAGAGAGAGAGAGAGACAGACAGACAGACAGACAGATGTGGTGAGTTTGTGTGTGTGTGAAAGATAATAAAGCTATCCTGGAAGAAACTCTTTTCATGATCCCGGATAAGCAAAACTTTCTCAGTCCCAGCTAACAATAAATGATTGACTAAATCTGAAGAGTTTGATGAGGTAATAGAGAAGGATACAGACATTTAACAAAGTCGAATTGTGATCCGTAGCTTCAGCACTTCCAATAAATTTAATAGCTTAATAGTGACATCTATTGGTGAAAACAGTGAACTAGGAAGCTGGTGGCTGCTCCAAAACTGCAATGAGTAAAATCCAACAGGCATATAGTTAGTTGGTTGCTCACACTGCATATACAATAAGCACAAACCTGACAAACTGAACTCTTTTAAGAAGTTCTATTGATTATTAAAGGGGCAGTTCAGAACCTGCTTAAATATTTGTAAACTGCCCTGTGATCTTCGGATGAGAAATTTAAAAAATAATCAGAGATTTAGTGTTCTAAACTTCGGATGGGCCATGTCTAACCTTTTGAATTATCAGACACAACAATAAGGCATGACTTTAATGAGAAGAGGCTCTGAGAATGTCACTGGCCAGGCAGGGTGGTGAACCTGATAAGGAGACAGGCAGTCAAGCAAACCATTGGGTGGACTGCCTCAGACATTCCAAATGTCTACCTTGTGGCATAGCCTGTGGAGCAATGTCACGGATGGAAACATTACAGTAGGTAAAAGTAAAGAGAAAGGGTCCCTGGATGGTTAAGTCCAGTCAAAGGTGACTCTGGGGTTGCGCCGCTCATCTCCCTTTCAGGCCGAGGGATCCAGCGTTTGTCCACAGACAGCTTTCCAGGTCATGTGGACAGCATGACTAAACAGCTTCTGGGGCAACAGGACACTGTGATGGAAACCAGAGCACACAGAAACACTGCTTACCTTCCCGCCACAGTGGCACCTATTTACCTACTTGCACTGGTGTGCTTTCGAACTGCTAGGTTGGCAGGAGCTGGGACAGAGCAATGGGAGCTCACCCCGTCATGGGGATTAGAAACCGCCGACCTTCTGATTGGCAAGCCCAAGAGGCTCGGTGGTTTAGACCACAGCGCCACACAGTAGGACACATGCAGGAACCCTCAACCTCATTTTTTGCAGAGTCCAACACCTCTTGAGATTGCCCTTTTCTTCCTTCCTGTTGGCTTCCTGCTATTATGCTCAACTCCTGATTGCATCCTACTCAGTGGGATGTGGTTGGCCACTGTGAGAACAAGATATTGAACTATCTGGGTCTTTGGTCTAATCCAGCAAGATTCTTCTTATGTTCTTCAGGTGTTCCCAGACACTAGTGTCAAATAGCCCCAAAGGCTCTGTTTGCTTGCCGGTGGGCCAGCTGTGTCACAGCTTTGTGATCCACAGGAGAGCTCTGAGCATATTCAAGCCAGAGAAAAAATGCTCTGCAGATATTTTGCATGTTGCAAACAACTGGGAACCACCCGGGGAAAAAAATATGCTTCCCAAGGCAAATTATCACATTTTTAATTAAAAGCAGGCCTGATATATGAATAGGCTATGTTCTATTGAATAAAAACAAGACCTGCCAAAGGAGCCTTAAGCATGCCAAGGCAGTTGTTGTTTCAGTTATAAGACATTTTGCTTCCTCAGCTTGCATTGCATAGAGCTTCACTGCACCAAGCAAGTTTTCCTATGCAAAAACAGGGTGCCGCATGTAGACAAGCAAATCGGGCTTATGGAAAAGGAATATATTTTCATTGCCAAGCTGCTTCTCTCCAATCTGTGCAGGGCAATGGGAAAAACAGGAATTTGCATAGTGCACTGACAAAAGAGGAGTTTGCATGTCGTATGACAGATGCTGACTTTCACCTTGCTCAGATGCCTTTATTCTGTTTTGGCATCTCCCCCAGTAGCAAAGATTGCACTGACATAGAGACTATTTCCTTTCAATCCATAAGAACCCTAGAGAACCTTGGCTATGGAATGGATTCCACAATGGCCAAGCACTGAACCCAATAGAGGGGGTGATAAGAAGTAAATGTTGGGGTAGGTACAGGAATTCACATTCTCAACTCAGTCCAAGCAACGTTGGGACCAGCGTGGAGCGACAAGCAGAAGGCATCAAAGCAAAGCAGATATTATTTAGGTGAGTCTGTTTTTAAAAACTCCATTTTCCCATGCCTTTGTTCACTGACTCCACTCCTGGGTTGCATCGAACATTATCTCATTTGCAATTAGTCACCAAACTGTTTGAGTTCCATAGCAATACAACAAATCTATTTCCCCCCTCCTAATGCAGAAAAAAAGGAGGAAGTCAGGTAATCTCTTACACCAGCTAATGTGCAGCTCTCCAGATGTTGAACTACAACTCCCATCAACCTCAGACATCAGGACCAATGTTCAGGGGTGATAGGAGTTGTAGTCAGCAACATCTGTAAGGCCACAGATTCCTTGCTTCAGTTTGACTTCCTTACTGCAAGTAAATATCTATCTATATCTATCTATCTATCTATCTGTCATCTATCTATCCATATCTATCTATCTATCTCTATCTATTTATCTCTATCATCTATCTAAATTAAAAAATTAAAAAATTGTCCAGTAGCACCTTAGACTAAGTTTGTTCTGGGTATAAGCTTTCGTGTGCATGCACATTTCTTCAGATACCATGGACACGAAAGCTTATACCCAGAACAAACGTAGTTGGTCTCTAAGGTGCTACTGGACAATTTTTTAATTTTTTAACTTATTTCGACTGCGTCAGACCAACACGGCTACCTACCTGTATCTATCTATCTGTCTATCTATCTATCTATCTATGAATGACAGTAAAAAAACAAGACAATCCATCTTACAATAGAGGTTGCGTCCATGTGCAGCACACAGACACACAAAATTTACCTGTGTAGGATTCTTTGAGGGTCTTATCATGCAATGTTTGCATGCCAGCCATCTATGTCTCCAAATGAAATTAGCATGGGCACTGTGGATGAAGGAAGTGCATGGATTAAAAGTACCCTTTCAATGAGATGGTGGGCTACACGTAACCCTGTCTGGAAAGTTGCTTCGTGTGGGAAGTTGCTGCTCTTGAAACTATTGGTCCCCAAATATTGTGTGTCCCAAAAAGTTCAACATTGTCTTGTTAACACCAATCCCCTGGGATGCTCAGAACTAACCTAAATTTGACACTGAACAACTACTTGAGGAATGCCAACTTTTACAACAGTAGGTACATCTCAGTTGGCGGTGCCAGCAGCCACTGCGAAATCTGTATTCCACTAGTTTTGTGGTGGAATAGTTTTGAATCTTGAAATAATTCAAGATGTTACACACTTCAGTTGTCAAGACCAACACGTTCCAAAATGTGGTTGCATAAACGCATAAGCTACCACTGTTCCTCATCTTTTAACACCTGCAGGAAAAAATGCATCATTTATGAGTAGACTTCTGCTTCTCTGCTTGCATTTTCCAAGAGTCTGAACCCCCAGCGGAGGCCACAATGGCTAGAAAGACATTCTGAAGCCCGTCAAGCAGAAGAGTTCCTTACAGCAGAAATGCTGTTGAAATACTCATACAAGGCATGGTCCCTGCAGCTGGAACTTTTAAATTTAACATGCTGTATTGGGATATAGTCATGAAAGACTTAGAATAATAAGATCTGGATTCTTGGCCCATTAGATATCCTCAAAAAGAGCCAGGAATGAGAATAAACATCAGGGTGACTTCACAAGTGACTTCTTTTGGCATGGAGAGAAATCCATTTGGGGTTAATAGATCATATGTGAGAATCTAGTTTGTCATGACTACACGTTTGCAATCCCAAAACAGGTAACCACCCCTGTAAGATTTCCACACAGCTTTGGCACAAAAGACAGAGTGCATAGGTGTACATTATGGCTTCCTTTTTGCACATTCCTTTTCCTATGTGCAATGTGAAAAACTGAACTTAAGACGGGGGAAATGAAAAAACTGAGAAAAAACGAAATTGACAGATTTGCCCATCCTTGTCTGTGCACAAATGAAAGCTTTCTTTTTTTAAAAAAAAATCACTCTAGACATTACAATTCTTGCATCACAGGTACCATCTTGCAAACCATTCCTTATCTTGTAACTGCTGTGTGATGTGCACAGATATTATTTATCTTTATTTGGTGCACTTATAATACCCCACCTTTCTTCAATAATGGAACTCAAGATGGTGTGCATGGGAATCTCAGGTGGTCTTCCATCAAGGCAACAGAGCCGGACCTGCTTGGCTTCAGCAAGGTACCTGCTTCAGGTACACCCAAGACTATTCAGTAGCAGGTTCTTTTGCTACTAATGAACTTACTCCAAATAACTGCTACTAATGGATCGTTGTGAAGAGCTTTTCTTTTTGTTGTTGTATTCTTATTTGCAATGGGTCACTTACTTTTTATCTTATTTTAAATACATGTATCTTTCTTATCTTTTGGAAGAAATTCAAGATAGCTAACATTCAAAAACAACAGGGTTTTTTTTAAATATAGAACTATTCACAGTTCATCCAAATAATAAATCAGACCAATAACATAAAGCAGCTATCCATAATATCTCTTACCACAGGTCTCTTACCAAGGTGGTTATGCAACTCCTTCCTCCCTCAAAAAAATAAAATTCTTCTGATAGATTTACCTGGCACATAAAACTTTTGCACACCTGCTTTGCCACACACCTGATTGAGTTTCACTGCCCCACCGGGGGCTGTTGCTGTTTGATAGTAAAACAGGCTCCTGGTTAACAATGTCAGATCTACAAAGCATCATCTTTCTTTAAAAGAAATGCAACAGCATGCTTCAACGCTATTGGGAAAGCATCTAGAATATTTATCTGCTGTTCAGTTCGCCAAACAAAATATCCCTATTCATTACCACACTGCTCCTGGGTCAATATGCTGGCAAGAATCTGTTTTCCCACTGATGTGCCCCCTTCTTCTACAGAGCCAGAAAGGGCTTGTTTAATGCCAGAACAAAACAAAACAATTGCTCAGGCATTTCACATTTCATTTTTCTGCAATGTATTAGCTCCCTCCACTCCCCTCTTTAAAAACTAGGGTGGGGGGGGAGGTAATTTAACTGCATATATCTTTCTCACAATGTTCCTGAAGTGACAAGGGGACCTTTGATTTCTATCCAACAGGGGCTTAGGGCTCAATTGCTGTGTCTGCCCTCTAAAAACAGGAAAAGTGGGGAAATACTTTCAGCCCGAGGGTCATAATACCTTTTGTACCATCTTCTGAGGGACATGGGTGGTGCTGTGGGTTAAACCACAGAGTCTAGGGCTTGCCGATCAAAAGGTCGGCGGTTCGAATCCCCGCGACGGGGTGAGCTCCAGTTGTTCGCTCCCTGCTCCTGCCAACCTAGCAGTTCGAAAGCACGTCAAAGTGCAATTAGATAAATAGGTACCACTCCAGCGGGAAGGCAAACGGCGTTTCTGTGCACTGCTTAGTCATGCTGGCCACATGACTCGGAAGCTGTACGCCGGCTCCCTCGGCCACTAAAGCGAGATGAGCACCGCAACCCCAGAGTCAGCCACGACTGGACAAGGGTCAGGGGTCCCTTTACCTTTATACCATCTTCTGAGGGTCATGTGTCAGTGGTGGGCAGGGCTGGAGGCAGAAAGCGGCAGAAGAAGAAATGTTTCTGCATCCATCCCCACAGTCCTCTCCAGACAATCAAGAGGAAGTGTCAGAGTTTAAGGACACATTTGAGTAAGGAAAACATCCTGGAGATGCGAACCAGGGTCAATGAGTACTGCGGCCTGAAGAAAGTTTCAAGTGTCAGAGTTTCCTGGAGGCTTTATGCAGCCCTCACATCTGAGGTTCCCCACTGCAGCTCTGAAATCTCCAACTCATCCTTCTTTCTGTACACAGAGATAAATCTAGCATCTAGGCCTTGGTTATCTTAGGACTAACATCATGAAAGATGTGCATCCTATTAACATGTAGTTTTGCTTCTCTTATCATTGGCTGGCACTGGTTGGAAGGGGGAACATGAAGTGACAGCACTATATCATAGTGTGAGTGAAACTATGTTACTGGAGAAAGGAAAAATTTTGAAATGTCTAGTGTCTCTCTCCCCACCCACCACCATGCCAACATTCTCAATATCTGCATTTTTCAGTGACTAGCATTTTTTGCAATTTTCATACTGTAAGGTTTCAATGAAGTATATATGTACATCATAGGGACGTGGGTGGCGCTGTGGGTTAAACCACAGAGCCTAGGACTTGCCGATCAGAAGGTCGGCGGTTCGAATCCCTGCGACGGGGTGAGCTCCCGTTGCTTGGTCCCAGCTCCTGCCAATCTAGCAGTTTGAAAGCACGTCAAAGTGCAAGTAGATAAATAGGTACCGCTCCGGCGGGAAGGTAAACGGCATTTCCGTGCGCTGCTCTGGTTCGCCCCAAGTGGCTTAGTCATGCTGGCCACATGACCCGGAAGCTGTACGCCGGCTCCCTTGGCCAATAAAGCAAGATGAGCGCCGCAACCCCAGGGTTGGCCACAACTGGACCTAATGGTCATGGGTCCCTTTACCTGTACCTTTATATGTACATCAGAAGCAGTCAAATGGCTCAAGTCTTCTATACTTATTCCTGCCCAGGAGGTTGGCTAGCCTGAGTGGATGGAGCCAGGAAAGATCTGGAATGTTTTTTTCTGAGCTGCTGCAGTTAGGCAGTTCCCCACATGGGGAAGTGGTCAGTAATTCCTGGCACCAAGCCGCTTAATCTCTTGTGACAGAGGTAACAGGTGAAAAAAGTAACGGGTAGAAGAATTGGAACAGATTTATTTCCAGTTGTACTAGGGGTGTAAGAGACAAATGCCCCCCCCACCTCTGTGCACTACATTCCCATTAAAAACCCCCATTTTACCAAGAAAGCATGAAGCATAATGTGGCTCCCACTCTGTTCTGGTCAGACCACACCTGGAATACTGTGTCCAGTTCTGAACATCATAATTTAAGAAGGATGTTGACAAGCTGGAACGGGTGCAGAGGAGGGCAGCCAAGAAGATCAAGGGTCCAAACCAAGCCTTATGAGGAGCGGTTGAAGGAGCTGGGTATATTTAGCCTGGAGAGTGAGAGGTGATGAAGCCATCTTCAAATATCTCAAGAGATTTCACCTGGAAGAGGGAATAAGCTTGTTTTCTCCTGCTCTGGAGGTGAGGATTTGGACCAATGGCTTCAAGTTACAAGAAAGGAGATACTGACTAAACTTCTGGAAGAAATTTCTGGCAGTAAGAGCTGTTCGACAGTGGCACAGTCTCCCTCAGGGGGTTGTGGACTCTCCTTCCTTGGAGATTTTTAAGCAGAGGTTGGATGGCCATCTGTCTTGGATGCTTTAGCTAAGCTTCCTGCATTGCGGTGGGTTTGATTTGATGACCCTTGGGGTCCCTTCCAACTCTATGATTCTATAATACCAGGGGAGGACCTCCTCTCCCGATATGCCCCATGGAGGACCTTAAGGTTCATAAATAGCAACACCCTAGAGGTCCCGGGCCCTAAGGAAGTCAGATTAGCCTCAACCAGAGCCAGGGCCTTTTCAATACTGGCTCCGGCCTGGTGGAATGCTCTGTCTCATGAGACCAGGGCCTTGCAGGATCTGATTCTTTCCACAGGGCCTGTAAGACAGAGTTGTTCCACCTGGCCTTTGGCTTGGAATCAACTTGATACCCTCCCCCTCTTTCTTTTTTTCCTTTCTCCTTCTGTGTTGGAA